GGACAATGGGTTTTCCTAAACCTATAGGGATTATGGGTTTCCTAAAATACAAGGAAATAATTCAAGCCACAAATAACAAATCTTCCCCTTGGCTTGAATTCTCTTTATCAACAGGAACAACGTCTCTCTACCTTGCCCTCAGCCCTCGCAAGGGCTCTATCCATTTCCGCACACATCAACCAAGTCTAGGTAACGCCTAAACTTGTTAAGAGACTCAATCTCTTTAGCCATAGCACTAATCCGTCGATTTGGTTATGTACTCTGAATAGCTTCTAAGTAGCTATAACACTCAAATGCATCAACGATCTCTGCAACTGCAAAAGCAAATCCCACTGGATTCGTACATCCAAGAAGATTCCCATCAACTACGTTTGCAAACCTTTGCGGTCGGTTGATCACTCTCTTCTCTCTGCATGTTGCAATGCTATATGATTGTTGTTGCGCAGGTGCATCAACATTATCGTCTTGATCAATATTTTGTACCTCCTCCACTTCCTCTACTTTAGAACTACTGGGTTGAGCTAGTGGAGATTCAATTTCTAGCTCTATGTGGTCACTGACACCACAATCTGTTTTTGCTATTGCCTTCTCCCTCTGACTGTCCAGTGACGCAGATTCATTGAATGTTACATCCCTACTGATATTAGCCTTGGAGACTTTTGATCTGTGCACCACAGCTTATAACCTTTCACTCCAGTTGTATACCCTAGAAATATCACTTCTTTTCCCTCGGCTCAAGTTTTCCATCCCTCACATGAGCATAAGCAGGACAACTAAATATCCTTAAATTTGAATAATCAGCAGGCGAACCGGACCATACCTCAAAAGGGATTTTGAACTCAATAGCTGTGGATGGAGATCTATTGACCAAATAACAAGCTGTATTGATTGCTTCAGCCCAAAAATCTTTGCTAACACATGAGTGTGAAAGCATGCTCCGTGCCCTATCACAAAGTGTTCTATTCATACGTTTTGCAACACCATTTTGTTGTAGTGTTCCGACACAAGTGCGGTGTCTCACTGTGCCCTCCCTGCTGCAGAAATTATCGAACTCAGAATTGCAAAATTCCATCCTATTGTTAGTTCGAAGACGCTTAACTTTTCTTTCCGTCTGCCTCTCAACCATCGTCTTCCATTTAACAAATAACGAAAATGCCTCATCTTTTGTTTTCAGAAAATACACCTACACCATCCTTGAGTAATCATCAATCAAAGTCATAAAATCCTTGGCACCACTCTTGGAGGGAACTCTGTTTGGACCCCACAAGTCATAGTGTATATAATCTAACTTGTCTCTGGTCTTGTGCTCGGCCTTCTTGATGAACTTTACCCTTGTCCGTTTACCAAACACACAATGCTCACAAAAATTCAAAACTTGATTTTTGTACCCATTCAGCAAATTCTGCTTACTCAACAAAGACAATCCATTATCACTCATATGGCCAAGTCGTAAGTGCCACAACTGAGACTGATTCAGATCATTTTTCCCAGAAGCTACAGCAACTTCCCCTTCAACTACACTGGCCTGAAGATGATATAATTTAGAATGTAGTTTACCCTTCATGATTACCATTGAGCCTTTACACACTTTAAGTATTCCATTCTCGGAGTGAAATTTATACCCTTAATCATCCAAAGTCGAAAGGGAAATCAAATTTCTCTTTATCCGAGGAACATGCCAACACTCAATGTTTCTGATAATTCCGTCGAACATTCTCAATTTGATGTTACCAACCCCCTCTACTGGTAATGGGTTATCATCTCCCATATAGACAGTCCCACTCATTTGTTTGTAAGTTGCAAACCAATTCTTATGTGGACACATGTGGAAAGTAGCACTAGAATCAAGAACCCAAGAATTTTGCCCATGACTAGAACTCACAGCACAAACTTCCCTTACATAGTCACTATCATCAGAATTATTGCCAGTGTCAACAATATTTGTCGAATTATCTATTTTCTGCTTCCCTCTTTTCTCCTTCAGCTTAGGACAATCTCTCTTGTAGTGACCTTGCTCCCCGTACTCATAACAGTGTTGCTTCCTTGCTGTAGACTTTGATCTTGCGGTTGACTTTTTCTTGTTAAAGTCCATTTGTTGTGTTCTTCCTCTAATCACAAGACCCTCGCCCTCAAGTCTGCTGTCTGGAAAGCTCTTTTTCAACTCTTTAGATTTTAGTGCAATACTAACATCTTCTAGTGAAATGTTGTCTTTCCCATATAGCAGTGTATCGGCAAAAGTATCATAAGACTGTGGTAAAGAACATAACACAATCAAGGCCTGATCCTCACTCTTAATTTTGATATCCACATTCTTCAGGTCCATTATAATTGAATTAAACTCATCAAGGTGAGTTTTAACAGGTGTACCTTCGTTCATACGGAGATTGTATAACCTCTTTTTTAGGTAGATGTGGTTTGTCAGCGATTTCTTAGAATACAGATCTTCCAGCTTCTTCCATGCCGTTGCTGCAGAAGTTTCTTCAGCAATTTCCCGAAGAACGCTATCTGTAACGCTCATGAAGATCACACTCAAAGTCCTCTCCTTCAGGTCTTCTTTCTTTGTCTCTTTCATATCTTCAGAAAAATACTCATCAATTGCTTTCCATAATCCTTGTAACACCAGGGACGATTTTATCCTAATCTTCCATAGACTGAAACTAGAACCTCCGTCAAATTTCTCTACTTCGTACTTTATTGAAGATGATGAAGATATCTTAACCCTAGATTATATGTAGAAACCTGAACCTTGCTCTGATATTGTTGGGCTAAACTAGCCCAAAAAACTAGCCCCGAAAATGGATGGCGCTTAAGCGCGCGACCTACACCCGGCCGTCGGGGCAAGTGCCAGGCCCCGATGAGTAGGAGGGCGCGGCGGTCGCTGCAAAACCTTGGGCGTGAGCCTGGGCGTGAGCGGCCGTCGGTGCAGATCTTGGTTGTAGTAGCAAATATTCAAATGAGAACTTTGGAGGTCTTTTGGGGAAAACCGTGCGGGCTTGGTCCAAAGCGGACAATATCACACCATATTAAGAGTGTATTTGGGCTAGTTTAGCCCAACAGCTGGTATCAAAGCCCAGGTTCAGCGGGACGAGTATGGAGATGGCGGGGTGATGGTGCGGGGCCGCACGCACACAAGCAGAAGCTAGTTGCGGGCTTCGGGTGCCATAATACTCTAATAATATGGGTGGCACACAGTAATCTCGAAAATTGACCCTTGGATCTGTTAGCTTCAAGGTTTCACGTATTAATTTTGATGATAACAAACCAACATAATTATTAATCAAAGAACACTTGTGGTATTCTTATTTTTGCACAGGTTTATTCATAAAAGAAGATGATGGTAAAGATCCAGACAAATACGGGAAAGAGAATATCATGTTAAGAATTTATCAAGGAAGATTATTTTCAGAGAGTTAATCTCCAAGCATCATAGAAGGAATAATATTTGAAAATCAAGTTTCAAATATTGGATGGCTTACTACAATATTGGAAGAAGAATCTATGGAAATTATGGAAGGAAATATTTTCAAGAAAGTTGCTAAAATTATGGAGAAGATCTATTATTTTATAGAAGAAAGATATTTCAAGGCCAAGGAAGAATATATTTTCTATGGAAAGAAAATATATTATGGTATAGTAAAATTTATATTATGGAAAGATATTATTTTCCAAGATCAAGAAAGGAATATTTTTAATATAATGGGAGAAGAATATATTTTCTATGGAAAGAAAATATATTATGGGTATAGTATATTCTATATTATGGAAAGAACTTTGGACAACTAAAGAGAATATTAGTTAGCAAGGAAAGTAAATTCAAAAAGGATATTTACCACAATTTGTAGAAGAAAAGGAAGCCGTTGAAGATTTCATACAAGGAAACAAATCAAGGAATATCTATTTCTATCAAGATACAAGGAGCCTTGCCAATCTATCTAAGACTATCAGAAGATTTTAAGCAAAGATTCTTACCTACAATTATTAAGGAATGTCTACCAGGTGCACAAAAGAATATCAATATTCAAAGACTTAGTGGCCATAGTTGGAAAGATCAGAAAAGAAAGATTATCATGTTCTGCAATTAAGGAGAGACCCACAAGGAAAGGATTTCAAGACAAAGACTATATTATGTCCAAGATAATAAGAAGCAATCTAACCTTGGACAAAAAACCACAAATCATATTGGTTCGAAGGAGGATCTCATGGCATGACCAAATTAATATCAAGGCTAGATATGGAAACAGATATTACTCCAAGATTCAAGGAAGCAATGGATGCAACGAAGATCGCGAGAATATTAAAAATTCCCTTGGCTTATGCAATAGCCATAACAAGTTGAGAGGGCTATAAATATACAAGCTCGATGAAGGAAGAAAGCACGCAGCCTTCTATACAATTGTCTATCCAACTACAAGTTCTTTATTCTACTCTTAAGAAGCATTGTAATTCACTTTAGTAGATTTACTGTGTACCCAAAAGAGAGAAGAGAGACAGAAAAATATTGGAGAGGCAGTGTGTCCTAGAGGTTGTGTCATTATTCGTTTCTTTGGTGAGTGAGTGAAAACCAAAGGGTCGTTGTTGGTGAGCGAGTGAAAACCAACCCTGTCAGTGTTGGTGGTGATCGCTGAAAATCACAAAGGCTGTACTCAATTCAATTTACGAAGAGCTCTAGCAGATAACACTCTTGCAACCCAAGAGGACTGGATTAGGATACCACATTGGTTCCGAACCAGTATAAAATTTCTGGTGTCATTTACTTTATCGCTCTCGTATTATATTTTGTTCCTTTACTGTTTACTGTGATTAATACTTGGTTTAAATCGAAAGAACTAACAGCTCTGTGCAGGCTGTCTCCGCATAAGTCGACTAGGGCTGAAGAATAGTCGACTAGAAATTTAGAAAGGCTACAATTCACTCCCCCCCCCCTCTTGTACTTTCAATTGGTATCAGAGCAGGTCTCACATCTTTATTTTTTTTGATTAACAGAAAGTGAGAACAGATCCATGGCAGGTCATCAAATTATTGGAACCGTACTTCAAGAGGGATACTCAACAAGAATGCCGCCGTACTTCAATAGTCAATACTATAGCCATTGGAAAGAAAGAATGAAGGCTTATGCCCAATCAATAGATTATCGAGCCTGGCTAGTTATTCAGAATGGATCAAGACCTATTCCGAACAACAGTGATGGAAAGAAGCTTGTACAAAGGGAATCCATATTTGACTATACAAAAGAAGAGTTGGATATTATGCAAACAAATGCTAGAGCAATCAACATGCTCTATTGTGCGATTAGTGAAGAAGAATATGAGAAAATATCCACCTGTGAGACTGCTAAAAGTATATGGGACAGATTGGAAAATATCCACAGGGACGCCAACAAAGTAAAGGAAATTGAATCCACGTCAACTCTTGAAGAATCCAAAAATGGTGAAAATCGAGAAGACGTGGCCGTGATACCCAGGACGAGAAAAAGGAAGAGTAGAAAGAAGCAGAATAGAAAATCTCAATCCATCCAGAATCATCAAAAGAATTGGAAGAATGAGGTTCAACAACAAGATAACATATGCTGCTATAAATGTGGTAAACCTGGACATATGAAATTAAAATGTCCCAGCCTCAAGAAGAAAAATCATAGAATCTCAACTTGGAGCGACGAGGATGAATCTGAAGAAGAAAACTATCACGAAAGAATGGAGAATCAATGTTTCATGGCAATGGGAGAAACTAACAAGGTATGTCACACTCCTATTACGTATTGTGATAACTGTGATGAATTGCAGGATGATATAGAATTGGTTTTCAAGGACTTTAAGAAAGTTCTAAATGAATATCATAAGTTGAGGAAGGAGAAGAAGAATTGGGAGATCCAACTTGAAGAATATAAGAAGCTGACACATGAGAAGAAAGATTGGGAAATCCAACTTGAAGAATATAAGAAGTTGACACATGAGAAGAAAGATTGGGAGATCCAACTTGAAGAATACAACAAGTTGAGAAATGAAAAGAATGAGTGGGATATTCAGCTTAAAGAATATCTGGTGGAGAATAACTTACTTCAAGAAGAAAATTTTAAGCTTCGCAAACAAATTAGCAGCTTGCACAAATCCCCCAGCCACTGCTTTGATCGATCAAAGTCGTCTCCTTGGCTTAACAACTATAAGTCGACTGAAAAGGGATCTACTGGTAAACGTCCTGCTTTGAACAAGTTGACTGAGGAAAGCTCCAAGTCAACTAATAAGGCAACTGCAAGTAAACACTCTTATATTACATGCCACTATTGTGGCAATTCTGGACATAAAGTATTTGCATGTAATTATGCCAAAAGTTATGTTAGATCAAAATATGTTTGGAGATCAAAACAGTTACATGCATCTCGAATTATTCAATCTACTAACCATGAAGGACCCAAAAAGATTTGAGTACCAAAAATAAATTAATATGTTTTGCAGGAATTCTGAGTCCAACCATAAAAAGGGATAAATGAAATTTGCATAATGGCTGGTCAAGGCACATGCTTAAAGATGCTTCAAAGTTCATACATTCTCTATAAATGATGAAGGAACTATTACACATGATGGTAAAGCTTAAGTGATTGATATGACTAAAGGCTATTCAAGTTCCTTCGGATGCTTTATAAGGTGATGCGTATCTAGTAATATTTTTTTGGGTAAATATAGTATGATATGTACAACTACATATTGCTTGAGTCGACCTGCTGCAACATGCTACTATTATGTTCGGTGTTAATCTTATCCTTGACTTAGAGATTTGAATAAGAACGAATATCTTGCATGAACCATGTCATTTGTATAAGCATTAGGATAAGCAAGCATGCATGCATTCCTTTTATATAGTTGTGAGCTTAAGATAATTTGTGAAGAAAATTACTTCTTATATCCTTTATCTTGATGAAAGTTTCTATATTCCATTCAAATCTGAGAAGGTTGTTTAATCTTGATGCCTCGGTAACTTGTGCATATGGAGATACTCGATTATTCCTAAGACTCAAAAGCTTGGAAGGTACATATACATATATATATATATATATATATATATTGATGATTATCCTTACTTTTGCATAGGCTATTTTTCTAGTAAATGACGCATTTAGAGTGATCATCGATGTGAGTTTTAATAGTATTTGTTTGACATTTCCTTGCAGCAAACATGATCTCTCACATTTTTAGTTTGGCGCCTCAGTTAAAAGCAGACTTGAAAAGAAAGCATCATTTTTCCATAAATTGTCATCATTGGCTTATATGCGCTTTAATAATTTTCATTGGATCTTATCTTGAATGAAACTCTGTCTGAGCTATGGGAAGGAGGAAAGATCAATTTTTGGTTATCTTATTTCCTTTGGTTGCAACTGTCTTGGTAAGACTCTTGACATGTTCCTTATTCATTACTACTTGCGATTTTGTGAAATTCAGAATATTAGCTGTAAGAGAAATTCCAACATGCACGTTTTTCTTTATGCTAATATTTTTCTGAGCAAATTGTGAATAAGGATGGAGAACTTGAAGTGGATAGCTTGCAATAATGTGCTAATGACACATCCCCAATTGAACTAGACAATCATGAAGAAGCATTAAACGATGAATGTTGTATTCTAGAAATGCAAAATTTGTTGAGCAAAGCTGAAAGAATCAAAAGTATGAAAATCGAGTGCCAAGCAAAGGAGCTACAATCATGGCACTTCCTCAGGGTTTATTGGTGGTACACCGACCCCTATACTGCTGTTTTCTCCAAGACGTTCGTTGTATGAACAAGTGCGTTTTGTGTGCTAGACATGTTTCGTCCTGAGAATCAAAAAAACTCGACAAGAAAAAGTGTAAAAACAACGTGTGTAACGAGAATCAGTAAAGAAATAATCGCTATTTTCTTTGGCCTTACGGTGGGCGCCAAACTGTTTACCTCGAAAATATGAGTAACAATTAAATTTGATTTGTGGTTTTAAAGATATGTGATTTAGTTCAATACCAATTAATAATCAAGAAATATGAAGTAGAAATGAAAGGGACAAGTGAATCAAACCAATGTAACTCAGCAGTAGTGACCTCGAGACAGTGACCTCGAGACGGTCTAAGAGCAATAAAGTAAGAAAAATAAAGCAAGAGCAGTAGAGCTAAAGAATAATGCTGATGAACAGTAGGCAAAAAGTAGAAAGTATATTCTTTTCCAAGTGATCAGATGATGTTACAAATGATTGGGGTCCCCTTTATATAATAGGGGAACTCTAAACAAGGAATATATCTATTTACAGTAGGGAATATTCTTGATACAGCTGTCTATCCGCTTGGTACAGAATCGTACAATCTTATTCCGGAATTTGTGCCACGATTATGGGGACGTGGCAGAAATCTAGCTCATTCTGTTATAAATTCCTAACGGTACTATTCCGGGATCGAGTATACTCGGGCCTGGCATTCCTCGTACTCCTATCTTCGGGCATTGCACTATGTCTTCGAGCTTGCCTCTGGTCCACCGATCTCGAACTTGACCTTGCCTGAACTCGGGCCTATGACAGGCCTTCGATCCTCCTCTGATTTTGACGGTATACAATTTTTCTCGCGGAAGCACAAAGAGAGTTGAACAATAATTGCACACATTATTCAATACTTTTGGTCTCATAATTTCTCACCCTTTCCAAAGCTTTAGATGCTTTTAATTTATTGGTTGCGTCAGGAAATCTTCAAAAGCATTTCTAACTTGAATATTTTAATGTGGAAAATATCATCAGAAACGTGCAAATCCGTTAAACAAGGCCAGCATGATATGGGAAGGGGATCACCTCCATTTAATTTTCATCTACTCCACCGGTGTGAATTTTTTTTTCCTCCCCAAATTCCACAATATTTAATTTTTTCCATATATTAAGAAAGAATTAATTTCTTTTATTCAAAATTATTCTTGAAGTAAAGAACCCATAAGTATTTATTATATTTTCAATAAATAAATTAAGATTAATATGATCAATATTGTTAATTAATGCTAAAAGGTAGAATTTCTTAATATGTGAGAAAACAATCAAAAACTCAAATAAAGTGAACCGGATGGAGTAATGTTCAATGTATTTATACATAGTAGACGATTTCAATTTGGATGTGCGTAACGACCATTAGAGATAAAATTGTCCCATATCAATATTTTTTTTATTTTTAGGTTTCAAAACCAAAATCACGATGGACTAAGAGTCCGTTTGGATTGGCTTATTTTAAGTGCTTTTAAGCCAAAGTCGCTTTTAAGCCATTTGGTAATGTTTGGATAAGTAAAAAAGTGCTTTTAAGCACTTGTTTTTAAGCTAAAATGACCAAAATAAGCAAAAAGCCAAAAGCTAGAATTCCTAACTTATGGCTTTTGGCTTAAAAGTAATTTACAACAAGCGTAAAAATTGCACGGAGCGCCCTATTTGGTCGCCCCCATTTAATCTATACCAATTTTTTTAAAAACTTTTAACTTGTACCCACTTTTTAAATAACTTCAGCTCCCTTTCTCCTCCCCTTCTCCTCTTTCATTTTCTCGGCAGCCATTCCAACCATCAGATCCAATTCTTCTACATCATCACCATATGCTTCACCTAAGATTTGGTTAGTTCGGGGTTACATGAAGAACCTAAAAGAATGGAAATCTTGGATAATCTCCTTTTAAGATGTTTATAGTTTTTCAACTTTTCATGTTTATAATCATTCTGTATATGATTCTCTTGTTATGCTTGATGTTAACGAGTGGCGTTCCAGATTTGGACCTTCCCCTTCATTTTTCAAGTTTACGGCAAGTTTTTAAGATCAAATAGCATGTACTATCCGCTTCGATATATTTCCTATATATCTTGGTATTGGAATTCCTCTGCGAAATGCATTGTACTAGCAACACTTCTTTCTCTGTCCCTATAAATTGCCATATATCCAAACATAATCAATTAAATGTGTGAAAATATAATTTTGTGATAATTTTATTGTGGTAAGTTAAATCTAAAACTTCAGCTCTAGAGCTGAAGTTTCCCAGTTACAACACAAAAACTTCAGCTCTAGAGCTGAAGTTTCCCAGTTACAACACAAAAACTTCAGCTCTAGAGCTGAAGTTTACCAGTTACAACACAAAAACTTCAGCTCTAGAGTTGAAGTTTCCAGTTACAACACAAAAACTTAAGCTCTAGAGCTGAACTTCAGGCCCGGCTACTAGAATGCTGAAGTTTTGCGTGATTGCCTTTGCTACTTCAGCCCCGTGTGCTGAAGTTATGCGAAAAAGCGGGTACGCTTGCAATTTTTTTTACAAAGCGGGCACAAGTTAAAATGTTACACAAAAAGCGGGTATAGATGCAAATGCCCCACAACAAGCCCATCCAAACGGGCTCTAAGAATGGATAGATATTATTCATCTAACCACACAATTATGATTATTCCTTTTTTTAATTAATCTAATGACCGGACTTTCACGCTGTGGTGATGGGGTACCACACAATGGGTAACAAGCTCAGTTGAGACATTTAAGTGAACAAATATGATAATTTTAAGGGACTGTCTATGTATTTAGACTTAAATAAACTACTACTACTAGTTTTATCTTAATAGAATATCTTCTATCATTTCAACGTAATACATATTAGTATTACTATCATAATAACAAGTGACGCAAATATACATATTTAAAAAAGCAAGTCATTAATTTGCTGTGTGAGATACATACTATTCCCTCTGTTCACTTTTATTTGTCCATTATGGACTTTGCACATTCCTTAAAAAAAAATAAATAAAGTGCATAATTTAGTAATTTACCATGATACCCATATTAATTGATGCATATTTTTAATAGATTCGAGAAAATAATTTAAAAAGTGACAAATAAAAGTAAAAATGTATTTTTATAATACAAAAGTGAACGGAGGAAGTGCTACTAATCTATTTTTAGGCACAACTAATAGAGTATTCTATATATAGGCACAACTAATGCGTGCTAGCTGTCTGAGATATATAAGATCCTTGGCCTATGATATTCTTTGAATATAGGAAAAATGAAGATAGGCACCACTAAGAACTCCTATTTCATTTGTTTCCTCTTACTGTTGCAACATGTTTCTGCAAAGAACATCATAGGCCAAGGAGGAAATGAGTTGGAAGAAGAGGTTAAAAGATCAGAATTCCCAGATGGTTTTCTTTTTGGAACATCAACTTCTGCCTATCAAGTACACACATTTCTGACTTTTAATTTACAGCTCTTAATTAATTGTCTCTGCTCTCATATATAACATCCTTAGTAAATGAATATCTGTATTATAGATTGAAGGAGCATATGTTGAAGATGGCAGAAGCCTTAGCAACTGGGATGTTTATTGTCGTATCAATGGTAACTTTCACATTTGTACCCTAATGTTTGTCTTTCCTATCCATTTTATTTTTAATGACATGTTCTTGTAACCATA